AAAATATACAAGGCCTCTACTGCTCCATGTTGGTAAGAGGAGATAATATTATCTTTTTCCTTATTTTTGACACGGCGGTCTGAGGCTCTCAAATTACGAGATTATTGTTGGTATTCTTACCATCCACCTAGGAAATTAAATTTGATCGTCATCATCTTTTGGAAAGTACGATGTGGTATCTATAGAAAAATTAGGGCAAATATTTTATGTAAATATAAATGCAGCTGACATTTTCAGATAGACATCATAATCATCATAAGGTCATCAGTACTAAGACTGGTTGGATACGTACCTCCACCACGTACCACCTCTTTCCTATCCTGAGCTAATCTCCGCATTTCTCTAAAACTAGAACAACCCATATCCTTAACTATCTGCGAACAGTTCTCTAATCTAGGTCTACCTCTATCCCTTCTAATACGTCTCTGTGACCAGACCTTCATGCGTGGGAAGATGTCCTACTAACCCATCTCGCATATTTCTTATTGACTTTTCATAGAGTCCTCTGTTCTCTTACTCTTTCTAATACCTCTTCATTTCTAACCTTCTCTATCCACGGTATCGTCATCATTCGCCTGCAACACCACATTTCGAACGCTTCTAGCCTTTTCTTTTCCGCCGCGCCCACTGTCCATGTTTCACACCCGTACAACGCCGTGCTCCAAACATAAACATTTAACAACCTCCTTCGAATTTCTTAATTAACCGTTCGCGAGCATAAAAGTGACTTCTTTTTGTTGAAGGCGACTCGACCCTGCGCTATCCTCCGCTTTATATCCTTACCACTTCTTCCGTCCTGATTTACCTGACTTCCTAGATACCTAAAATCGGCCACTTCTTCTATTTTTTCGTCTCCTATCTTTATATTCGCTCATTTCCTACTTTTCCTTCCCTTGCAAAGCAGTATTTTTATTTTACTTTTATTTATTTTCATACAGTACTGTTTTGTCAATACTTGTATATCATCTGCAAATCTAAGCATACTAATCTTTTGCCCCTGTATATCTATTCCTACAGTTCTACTGTCTATAATCTGTGACAATGTGCACCCTGTCTGACTTCCTTCGTAATATTTATTTCTCTACGTTGAAGCTCCAGCTCTATAACTGCCTGTTGCTCTTTATACAAACTAAGTATCACTCTTTTATATTTGTAACTCATCCCTACATTTTTAAGTATTTATACTACACACATCGTTATCAAATTATGCATTTTCACTAAAAAATATCTATGTCAATAAAGAATTATGTAAATTCCAGGGTTGATAAAAATTTTACCTTATCTATACATTCAATAAATAGGCACGTACAAGAGTATAATGCAAGTAATCCACAGAGACCACAAAACGCCTAAGTCTAACAAGAACACCTAATACTAGCAGAGCCCTGGTGTAAAGATTATTATGATTGTTGCAGTACATTTTAGTGCATTTCAAACGCAATACATTGCTACTAACATAAACCTTTCCATTCTAGGTTTAAATTTCCTTTTCTTCATGTCGGGTATCGCGATCGTCAGATCATATTTGCAAACAATACTCAACACAATCGAAAGCCCAATATCATCCAATCTTTCAAGTTTAATTTTCGGAGTAGCTAGCATTATTTCTGGTAAGTGGTTATAATTTGTTAATTTACCAAATAAAACACAAGCATCAAACAAACTTAAATTTTAGTACTCATTTCTGGTCAAGTGGTGGATCGATTGGGAAGGAAGCCTCTCTTGCTTACTTCCTGCATCGTCAGTGCGATTTCTATGTGTTCTCTCGGGGCGTACTTTTACATTAACGACACTAAATCTTTTGATATGCATGCGGTGACATGGTTACCATTGGCCATTCTAATCGTCTATCAAATATTCATTGCCATTGGTATCAATTCCGTACCTCAAGTGATTGTTTCCGAACTGTATCCAATGAACGTCAAAGGTATTGCGATAGGAACAATCGGAACACTGCTTAATCCTTTGAGTGTAATCGCTCAAATGACCTACGAACCTCTGAACGATTGGTTGGGATTGTATGGTTCGTTTTGGATGTACTCTGCATGCTGTATTTTCGGTATTTTCTTTACAATATTCTGTTTACCTGAAACAAGAGGAAAATCTTTTCAACAAATACAAATGGAAATCAACAAGAAATGGGTGGAGACTGATGACGCTAAGTAACAGTGAGGAATTTTGTTCGAGTTAAACTTTAACCAAAGCATAATTTATGTAAAAAGTAAAATGTTAATGGCAAAAGCAGGATTGTATTTTATTTAGGTATTACTTGAACTCGTCCAAATTTGGATGGATGGGTATCGTTGTAGGTGGTATCTTCCGTACCATAAGCGTTATCAGTAATGCTTAGCTTAGCTTAATAATGGTTATCACCCATACCATAGCCGAAACTGTACCTTTAGTGTTTAGACCATACCTTTACCTAAATCCTTGGTGCATAGCACTTCACACAAGCCAATAAGGGACTCATTTCCCACCATAACCTAGCCTAACCTAACCTGACTAGCAGAACACCATTCCTACAACTGTCTGACCAACAGACTAGTGTTTCTAATGACAGTCAGATTACAGGAAGTCCTTAAACTAAAAGGATATCCTATTGGGTACCAGATTATTTTATGGTACGTACTATAGTATGTACAATTGATTCTTAATGACAACGTACCAAGACTTATAACGACGTTTTTAATTCAANTTTTGTAATGACTTCTAAGGTTCAGTTGAACTTATTGAATACATTCAAATGTAGGTGTTGTTGTGTCTTATTACACCTCTAAGCAAACCAACTTTCTTTACCCATAAGTACGCTATGAAATTGAGATGTAATTATTACAATGTTGCTGGTCCAAAACCATGGCACATTCTTAAAATTGTACATCAACATCAATGTACGCATATGTACATAGATACTAAAACGTATTCAATATAATACGTATTGTAGGTATAATTGCACCTTTGAAGTCCTTATGAAAGAATGCAACTTTAAGGGACCTTATCTCAAAAAGATGAGTTTTTACGACTTAGATCGAATCGAGACTTTTGATTTACATGTCCAGCATTAGTAGCTACATCGGTCATTACGAACAGTAATCTAGTCAAGGTCTACTTCCATCCCTGTTAACTTCTGCTTCTACTTCTAATACGTCTCTAGCTACCCCTGCAAACAGAACACTGAAGATACCAACTGTTAGACATGGAGAAATATTTACTGTAACTATTCTTATAGTTGGGATGTTTAAAATTGGCATAATCGCATTTACTTTTTCTCTTTCAACTTACTAAAGATACTAGAGCGGTTGCTGACAGAATTTCCACTGTTACTCACGATAGACACTGTGGGGAATATCGTAAACATGGAAGAGAGATGCCAGGTAGGAATTGCAGCGGCCACTAACAAAGAAAAAGCAATAACATTACATCAATTAATGTGTAACAGAAAGAGATGCAGACAAGCAGAATTTGAGACTGTTACCAGCATCAGACTTTAAAGAAAGTTCAACACTCTCAGAAATTTAGGAAAGCAAAGACACTTGTTTAAGGACATAAATCCAACCACGCAGTTATAAAGTCGGCCTTGACATTTGCCTGTCTAAGCCAGGGCCGGGCAAACTCGGCTCTTTTGACTCCAGAGTGCTCGTCAGGTATAGCCAAGGAACTCCTCATTGCTCCTGCAAGTGCGAGTGAGATGATTCTTTCCTTTTCTTATCCCTTCCATTTCGTAGGTGAGTCCCCTCTTCCATAGCCGAACCCAATAGTATTGCGAACGTAGTCCGGCATGCTACTACTGAGCTGCCGGACGATCATTAAAAAAAATTTCGTAGGTATTTTGTAAGTTACGAGAGAGGTTTCGCTCGTCTACGGGATGAAGGGGCTTGATAAAGGAGTGGAAGGCAGAAGAAAAAAGAAAGCAATATGGGTGATTACTGCTTACTCTCACGTACTCAATGAAGGGCATGGAGTGACCCAAACTAACCTAAGGTAGCGTCTCCTACGAAGTTAAAGTTTGCCCAGCTCTGGCCTAAGCAACCTCTAACCGCTGCATCACTTACTATCACTCGCTTATCTCTATTCACTTTGTCTGTAATCCTCATGAAACATTTCCTACCTTAGCAAGGGCGTGCTCGAAACGCATCAAATGACTACAATCCCAAGTGGAAGCAAGAAAGAAGATACATCCATTCTAACTGATAATTTATTGCAGCATTTGCCAATTTTGATTGTCCCAACCATACTGGTATCATTACTACGTACTCTTGTCAAATACCTAATCAGTTTTTGAGACAATTATAATGTTCATTATTAAATCGTTTTTGTAGAATTACAAAGCATTTTTCTTTTTGAAATACTTCAATTGTTTTAATATCAACGTGTTTGATTTTTTAAATGACTAAACAAACACGGAAATGTGATAAGAGATCGTATCTCATACTCTAATTAAATACTGAAAAATTCTTATGCCTTAAAAAAAGCGAAAAAGTATAAATCGAATTTTTAAAGCAATGCTTATATATACATATATAAATAACTGACTAGACTTAAAAGCACTCTCTTTCTAACAAAAAAGGACACAGCAAACAACCCTAACCCAAATTCAAACTATTCCATGTTTTATAATGTATATTATTTCCATATTCTCCTGANTCATGATGCGGAACGTACTTAAGATATCATCTGCTAATAAGCATGGCGAAACGTTTTCATTTAAGCAAAGGACTTAGGAACCAACCCTAACCCAAATTCAAACTATTCCATGTTTTATAATGTATATTATTTCCATATTCTCCTGACAAAGACTTTAATCAGTCGAAACCGTTAAAGAATTCATACATATGTACAGTATTTGTTTAAAGTATAAGACCTTTCAAATATTTTTATTTCATTTATTCGCTTTTTAAATAATTGGAATGACCAAGCAAACACTTATGTTTAATAAATGGTTCCACTTCATACTCAAACACATATTAAAAAAGAATTTATGCCATAAAAGATAAACTGATTGTGTAAGAGGGCTGAAGATTGATATACATAAAAGTACTCTCTTTTTATCAGATAAATCGATACGTTAAGAGGGGTACAATGCGATTTTGGAATGTAACTTAACAGGTAATTTTTTTAATTTTTGTTTAGAACGGTGTTAGCAGTTAACCGTTTCAAACGAACTATTGTTATAGGTACCTACCCTAAGCATAATGTTACAGGAGGCTATTTCCAAATGGAGGTACAGACAATACTTGTACTGCATAGCTGGTAAGTTATTTATCACATTTCCTGCTTTCGAATGTCATCATTACTCTCACCTTACATTTATTTACCTACTTAATTGGAGATGTATGCTGATTACAGATTGAAAAACTGTTTGATTTTTCGTTCTTAATAATTATTTCGGTGCAGGTTCGAACACCCCATTCCTCCCTTTAGTACGTACTTGATTGTAAACTGTATTAAAGATAAATTAATTAATTAATTAAGAATTAGGTAAACTACATTAAGAACGTACTCTATTATGGTAACTGACCCATAGGTAAATTCGCTTGTGTTTGACTTTATAACGTATCTACCTTCTTGACCCTCGTAACATTGTTACTTTGATATCCTTTGTACTTTCTTTTCTCCAACTGTCTGTCTTATCCGTAAAATCGCATTCCCCATCCTAACTCATGTTATAAATGGGAATGTTTGTTTTCTCGTTTGTTCGTCTGTTTATTTGTTTGTTTGCTACTATTTCACCCCTTAACTAGTCAACGGATCATTATAAAATTTTGTAGAGATATTGTCAGGGGTACAGGGAGGGACATAGGGTACCCTTTATCCAAAAAAAGTACTGTTCCCGAAGGATAGAAAAAGATTAGTTTTACTTAGTCATCGATGATCTTTGGCACATAAAACCTACTTAGTTTTTTAATATTTTTTTTGTCTGACTTCTGTACCTCCTTAAACTTTCACAATATTATTACCGCAGTATAATATTTTGTAATCTTCTTATCAGCATTGGTATGCGTGACTGCCTCTGAAATTCATGGATCATGGACTTCTCCATTTATCCCTCAACTGGAATCTGAAGATTCTCCGATCGGAGTTCAATTAACTACCGTAAGTGAAATAATGCAGTAGTCGCAGAAAACATGTTAATGTTAAATGAAAAGAATTAGGAATGCATTTTAATATATTCCAGATGGAATCTGCTCTTGTTGTAAGTCTTTACACCCTTGGTTTCTTCTTGGGAAGCGCTGTTTCAATACATCCACCTGATCTTATTGGCAGAAAAGCAACATTGATTGCTGGAACTGTATTAAATTTAATTTCTTGGATTTTTATAATCTTTGCTCGTGGTCCAATTCCCTTGTATATTGGAAGGATTATTGCTGGAATGGGAGCAATCATTTGTAGACATGTAAGTTATTGTACTTCTTACAGATCAATTCGATTTTAAATTGATTTTCATGTTAGGTCCGTCAGTCTGCAACATTTTAGGAACGAGAAACATTTTGCTTTTTGAAGTTTTAACATTTAAAACGCATGTCTCTGTATTCTATCGAATGTTACCTCCTATTTATGCAGTCATCAAATATGTTCTTAGTTGTCGATTATTTTCGGAACCTTCCCGTAGTTTCTTTTGTCGCAGCTTTGTGCCTAAGCAGTTACGTGTCTCTCATTTAATTGAGCTTCTTATTCACCAGATGATAGCGACGTTATCGATCCGCCGCCTCAGCCGTATGTTTATAAAGATATATTAATTGGGATATTTAGATAGTTTAATTTTATTTTGTTTTAATATAAGTTAAGCAAGTTCGACAGTTTCATTTTTTGTCCTATGTACGCTCGTAATTTACAATTGTAGATTAAATGAATCGAATCGGATTGTAATATCATTTTAGAACTTAAGCAATTTCTATCGGAAGAACTAGCGGTGCTAAACTTCGCAAAAAAATATCTAAAGAATCTAAATCTACAAAAATGAATATTATTTTAAAAACTTATTTTGAAGTTTTATAAAATGCAGTCCTTTCAGCTAATTTCCTCTTCAATTTCACAAATCAATTAAAGCATGATCTATAAGATCAACTGATTCTTACTGATTATTATATCTCTTATTCCACTATTGTCCAACGGTCCAACAAATGCAAGTCACTAAGCGGTCCTGGAATATTCTTGATTATTTCTCGAAACTTCTCGTAAGTTCCTTTTAGTGCCAGCCTTATTCGCAGTATCATTTATGAGCCGCAGCTGTCGGCGTTCGGGCACATCAAAGATGCCGCCAGTATCGATCACCTACGGCATTCCCTCATGTCAAAAAGTGAATCCGTACATATCCCATACTATTTATTTCAAGGTCATATGGTCGTTTCTGCTCTTATAAAGTCTATCTGTCCATATGTGCTAATTCTGGAAGCGGCTAAACCCATATCGATATAACTTTACACTTGACATGAATAAATTTCTTATCGTTGTCAATAATGATCATTTTCCGGTAGGTAGTAATTATATTAATTAAAGTTTAAAATTTCTAGATATCAGCAATGTACATTGGAGAAATTGCCGACAACGATAATAGAGGTAGAATGGGTTATTTTAATGTTCTATCAAGCACTTGCGGATCTGTTATCGGACTGGTGATAGGTCCTTTCGTATCCTACAGAATTTTTGCAATTATAGCAATATGTACGGTAGTATTTGCATTTATTTGCCTTCTACTGATTC